CTATGTCATGTTTTAGAAGCATGTAAATATGGCTTATCACATCTTCAAAAATTGCAGTTACAATTTATAAAATCGTAGAATCTTTTTTATCTACCTTTCTAGCACAGGAATACTTCATTCGGTCAATAACATTAAGTGGCTCAAGTGTTGGTGCTCCAAGCCCTGCATATGGGTAAAGTTGCTAACATTTTTCTAATGATACTGTGTCTCAGCTTTTGCTCTCACTCACAGGCTCATACCCCTATCACAACAGCATTAAATACTTTTCTCCCCTTTTTCTTCCTTCTCCATCTGTCCCTGTGGTATTTGGCATTTCAGGGTGTGAAAATGATACATTGATTGCAATGCTTGAGGAAATTCAGCTAAAGGCCTTATTGTAGCTTCCGTGTCAGTAAGAGTGAGTAAAAGGAATGTGTCCTTATGAAGTGGCATCCATTGCTTAGGCGAAAGGGAAGGCCAATGCTTTCCTTCATCATCATGCAGAAGAGCAGTGGCATTTTGAAAGAAACTTTTAACTTCTCTTCACTCTCCGGAGACATTTTACCAGTTTGTTTAAAAAAGGCTAACGTGGACCAGCTGGTGGTATGTCATGCTCCTGAATTGGTTTACCAGCATTTCCTCAGAGGAAGTAAGCATAGTTGTTAGAAGACTGTATCCTGCCATAGGAATTGAACTCTTATGTTTCTACATTGTGTGGTTTGTTAAGCTGGAGCTATTTCCATATTGAAGGAAAGCATGTGACTAAAGGTACACTCTCATTCAAATGTGATGTGAGGCAGACCTTGCCTACCTTGTATGTCTAGTTTTTGTAGTCTTTGAGGGTGTTTCAAAAAGAAGGAATGCTGACCAAAAGCTGCTCCCTGTGGCTGACTATCATGGATAGATGCAGATCATTCACCAAGGCAGCAAGGAGGTCATGTGGGAAACTCATTCTCTTTGAGCCAGCCCCCTTGAAATGATTGAGTAGTAGTACATTGTTCAGTATAAAACTAGATTCCAGCAATGTAAGTATTCTCAGACATAGAATGAAAGAAGAAAGTGTAAATGTGGATCCATGAAGATGGATTTAGTATGGATTTTCGTTTAATTATTTATAGATTAGAATGCTAGTATATCAATTTGACATTTTTAGGATTGCCTTTGCGGCTACTTTGTGGTCTTAATGTGTTTTTTCTGTATTTTAACCTTTAAAAATTGGTGGAGTGACATCCTGTTACTCAGAAGCTATATAATTAGTACTGGATCTCCAAATCATTTCTAGGTATCAAAGTAGGCAATACTGTTCTTAAATCTGTGTTAATCCTGGATTAAGAAAATAGAGAGTATTTTGTTGTTTTAAAGACTGAAATTCTTACTTCAAATGTGTGAACATCTTGTTGGAGAGTCTGTAGAATGTAGCTCATTGCATGAGATACGGGGTTTAATATATTTATATGTACAAGTTGTTGAATGTACTACCAGACAAAAAGATGTCTTAAGCAGTGCAGGAATTGCAATAACTTATTTTCAATACGTGTGTCTTATTCCAGTTGTACAAAGGGGTCTCTCTAAAAAAGTGTCTTTTAACGTACAAAATCTCTTTAAAATTATTAACGCAGTGAGAATTTGACTTACTTTTTCTAAATGAAGGAACAGGAATTGGAATTATAACTAAAAATTAGATTATAGGAATGCAAAATGATAGATTTGATACTTAAAGGTTCCTGCTGTTATCTCACTCCAAGTTTCACTTGGAGCTGTACCTCTAACAGATTCAATGTCAATAGCCTCTCTACTGAAATTACCTTGGATTGCATCAGATTTAACTTTTGCTGAAGGCAACAATATTTTTTGGGTTGATACAGACTTGGGTTTATGTCTTTACTGTTTGATAGAGAAACTCTTCTGCTAGTTATGTTTCTTGATAATACTGAGAATCCACAGTTCACATTGTGTACATGAACTTTTCCAGAGCATTATATTATTGAGGTGCATTCAGACTTGAAAACATGTAGTTTTGATGGGTTTAATATATTTTTCTTCATTCTTTCCAGTGAAACTTTCCAACACAAACATCTAGATTGTCTCTAATTTTCTCAAAACCATACCTCTCATTGAATAATCTACACATATTTTTAGACCCTAGAAGCTAATGCTGAAATCACAGATTATCTTTTATTATTTTAAAATTTAGTTCAGGGAAAATATCTTGAAGTAACTGTTTCTCAGTTAAAACTAATGCAGGAGTTTAAACAACAAAATCCAAATATTTAACAAAGGAGATGCATATCATTTGAAGTGCTTGTTTTGCCTTTACTGCTTTTTCCATTGAATCTGTGCTGCTTCTGTGCAACTGTTTTCCACTGTAGAAACTCCATCCTGCTGCCTTGCTTCTCGTGAGCGTATTTACAAAACTAGTGATGTAGCTGGGCCTGCCTCTGCTATTTCATCTCTCTCTCACAAACTGAAGGGTGGGTATGCATGTCAACATAGCAAGGTTATTCAGATTTTTACATTCAAAATGGGTTTTTTTGGTGAGTGGTTTTGGTTGGGTTTTGTTTGTTGGGTTGGGTTTTTTTTCCTCCTTCCATTCATTTTCATTTCATTCACTTAATAATGTTTTGAAAATAAATGTTAAGGTTTGGTCTTTGTTGGGAGCTTGTTTGGTATAACCATTCAGTGTTGCCTTTCTGAGTTGCCTCAACTTCATGATACGTGATCTGGCTAATTCTTTCTGCTTTGCAAACAGAAAGATGACTGTTAATCTGATCCAATAAGGCCTGTTCTCAGACAACAGGCAAATGAAATATAGAAGAAGAAAGGGAAAAAAATACAAGGTTTTTTGTTTGCTTGCAGTTAAAGCAGTTTGCTACATGGTTATGCAGCTTTTCATTTTGGGTTTTTTGCTTTGGGTTGTTTTTTTTGCTGATAGTGTAGAATTAGGATTATTTATCTGTATATATGCAAACTGAAACCTTTGCTTTTTAAGTTTTGTGGTTTTTTTTCTTGCTGGAAGCTGCTGTTAAGCTATGCCTTTCATAAGCAGTTTCATTCGAGAACATTGGCCTACTTGATATTCACTAGTCATGCATATATTTTGAATTTGATACATTGCTGAATGGCTTGCAGTGTTTTATGTCCTTGTTGACTTTTCAGTATACTTTCCTTTATAAGGAATTCTGTAAAAAGTTTCTGTCTAGAGAATTTTCTCATCTGGAAGATGACCAGACCTTAAATTAATCTTTTTATTTGTTTGTGGGAAAAGTGTGTTTAAAGTAATAACTGTTTACATTTCTGAATTCGTGTCTCACAAAGTAGACATCTCAAAATAGCTCGTCAGTAGAACTGGTGAATAAGTGAGCTGACATAAGCAAAATGCTTGGAAAGAAACCTTCTAGTTTTGGGTTTGTTTGTTGGGTCTTTTTTCTTGCAAAAACAATCATTTTATAAATCATGATGTACCATGCTGTTTTCCCTTCATCTTCCCCCTCCTTCTGAAGAAAAAAATAATTACAGAACTCATAAGAAAAAAGAATAAAGATGGATTAGGCTCTCAAAATTTATTCATGTTTGTGATGTTCTCATTATATTCTGCTGTTTATATTTGGCATATTGTTTCTGAATCATAGACAAAATATTTCTTCTCTGCCTGGAGAAGTATTAACTCCTACCATGTCCTATCTCCTGGGAAGCCAGGAGAGTATGCTAGCCGTCAAGCTTGTCAAATATTCCAGTATAGGTATCCTTCACTTTTTCCTGTTACTATTTGTTTTATTATAAGCTACTTAAATACAGAGGTAGAAAAAACAGTTGTTTTGTAACTTCAGGAAAGATCTGGGTTGCTAGGCTTTGCTTTTGTTTTTGTACTATGAGAGGTAACAGTAGGAGAAACTGCTCCAGTATATTTTCTAGCATACAGATAAGGCTTCATGAGTGAGAACTGGAAGAAGATGATTCAGATCCCATAATTCAAAAGAAGTAAACAGATTTCCTACCTTTAACTAGTGAAAAACCCATCCAGATCAGAAGGACTTAACTGTACCTTCAAGACTTTGCAGTGTAAAGTCTCACTTTGTAGAGAAACAGCTATATTTAATTCACAACTGCTGCATTGCTCACCAGTAATTTCAACATTGCTTGTCTTAATTTTCAAAATACAATTCTACAAGACTGTCTTCACAGAATTACTAGGAGCAGATTGCTTTAATGAGCTTCTACTTTGCATATACTTGGGGTTTATGTATTTATATTAGCTACCCATAGTTTTTATAGTTCTGTGGATTAATATATGTACAAATCAATGTGCAAAGGAACAATAAATTAATGCATCAAAATAAGAGGACATCATAGATCACAGCTGATAGTTTAGTGATTGGAAAAGGTGGGTTGGTTTGTTGGGTGGTTTTTTAGTAGGTTGTGTTCTGGTAGCAGAACACTGATAGTTTGTGGCCTTTAAAAGGTGTATACCTCAGATTATCAATGTGAATCATTTTAGGTATGTCTGTAAACCTCTTACTTGATTTGCCTTGTAGCTGTATTTACTTTCTACGTTTCCTGACTTTTGAGCATCAAAGAAAATAAGTCTGCTAATACATTTGGTCTTTCTGCAAGTCTCTTGTTGCAGTCAGGCTGTAACTCACAGAGATAATAAATAAATAATCCCTGTTTTCTGTTGCAACTGTGGTAAACTTGGATAACTCCTGACATTTGCCTAAGGATTGTGCTTCCTTTACTACTGTTTTTGGGTACAGAGAACTGTACCTTTTGATACCTTCGTAGTAGTGTTTCTCTGTAAATATTTCCTAAAACTTGTTTGCATGTATCTTTGGGACAAGAAATGTGTTGAAAACATTCTAGAGAAAAAGAAAGTCCCTCTCTATGTCCTTTCATTTTGCTGTGAACAGAAGCACATGTTTGATTTTTATCTTGTGTTCAGATCTTTTTAATCCTTTTGTATTGTTGTTTTCTATTATTAAAGGTATCGTTGTCAAAGTATAATAATTATAAAATATACTAAACAGGTGACCGAATGAATTTCACAGGAGCTGCTAGACCAATTTCTCCATCAGGAAAATCAGACATGTCATCAAAACATAGAGCTGACAGCAGGTCACCCAAGCTTGATGTGCGAATAAATAGAGCTGCAGCTGACCAGAAGAAACCTAGAAATACAGATGGCTTATCTGCCAGTGAGTCTCTTATGCTGAAATCAGATGCTGCAAAATTGCGATCAGACTCTCACAGCAGGTCTTTGTCTCCGAATCATAACACTTTGCAAACACTAAAAACTGATGGTAGAACAACTACTGGTCTGAGAGCTGAATCTCCAGGGCCAGGAAACCGATCATCTTCTCCAAAGACAAAGACACTTACAGCTGTTAGATCTGGTGCTAGTTCTCCACGATCCTCATCACCACATGACAAAACTCTACCTCAGAAAGCTCCTTCCCCTGTAAAAACAAAGCTTGATCCTCCTCGAGAACGCTCCAAATCAGATTCTTACACGTTAGATCCAGATACCCTTCGCAAAAAGAAAGTACCGCTAACAGAACCCTTGAGGGGCAGGTCCACTTCACCCAAACCAAAAACTATTGCAAAAGATGGAAAACCTGTTACAGAAACTGAAAATAGAGCTCCTTCCCCTCATGTTGTACAAGAAAATCTTCACAGCGAGGTAGTTGAAGTATGTACTTCAAGTACTTTAAAGACTAACAGTATTATAGATAGTACCTGTGAAGACAACACAGAATTCAGAAGTCTGGACGATGGTTCTAATAAAGTTCATTTCAGCATAGGAAAAGCACCACTGAAAGATGAGCAAGACATGAGAGCATCTCCGAAAGTGAGCCGTAAATGTGCTGGTAGACACACAAGACCCAAAAAGGAAAAATCCAGCTTTCTTTTCAAAGGAGATGGCTCCAAGCCTGTAGAGCCTGCCAAGCAAGCAATGTCACCTTCTGTTGCAGAATGTGCTAGAGCTGTATTTGCTGCATTTCTCTGGCATGAAGGTATTGTTCATGATGCTATGGCTTGTTCATCTTTTTTGAAGTTTAATCCAGAGCTGTCCAAAGAGCATGCACCAATTCGAAGCAGTCTTACTCAACAACCTGCAGAGGAAAAAGAAACAAAGTTGAAAAATAGACATTCATTGGAAATATCATCTGCTCTTAACATGTTCAACATCTCGCCTCATGGACCAGATATATCTAAAATGGGTAGCATCAATAAAAACAAAGTTCTCTCAATGTTAAAAGAACCACCTCTACATGAAAAGTGTGAAGATGGAAAAACTGAAACTACCTCCTTCGAAACATCGAGTCACCACACAATAAAATCCAAGTCTCCTCTTCCATTAACATTGCAGCACTTGGTAGCTTTCTGGGAAGATATTTCTCTAGCAACTATTAAAGCAGCTTCCCAAAACATGATTTTTCCAAGTCCTGGTTCTTGCGCAGTGTTAAAGAAGAAGGAAAGTGACAAAGATAACAAGAAAACTAAAAAAGAGAAAAAGAAAAAAGAAAAGGTTGAGACTAGGCCAAGAGGAAATCTTTTTGGCGAGATGGCCCAGCTTGCAGTGGGAGGACCTGAAAAAGATACCATCTGTGAGTTGTGTGGAGAATCCCATCCATATCCAGTGACTTACCACATGAGACAAGCTCATCCAGGTAAGAGATGCATATTTTTTAATTCCCAATTCCATCTTTAAAGTACATTGCACATACACATTTTGGTATTAGCTACTGTTATGAAAATATGTCAGGCTGTCTTGTTTAACATTATAACACAGTTTTGCTTCATAAGCTAAAATAAAACTGAAATGTAGAAATTACATGTTTTTATATGTTATCCTTAAGTAGTTACGGATCTAAGCTTTCAAAGATGCTCAAGCAAGTTGTTTGAAACAAGGCCAAAATAGCAAGCTAACTTTACAGTAGATATTCAGAGCAGAAAAATGCCATTTATTAAACTTTAGGACTTGAAGTTATGCTGAGAAAATTGGAAATAAAAAATGAGATTGATTAATTAGAGTTTCTACATTGACAAACATTTTCTATTACTTTCCTACTGTAAATAGTAGAAAACTTCTTTATCTGCTGTGTCAGCACTGGGTATCAGTAGCTTCATTTTGGGGGTTTAAAATGTATCTTAAAAAGATCTAGTCCATGCCTCTAGACGATTTGTATGGTAAAACACAACCTCAGTCTCATATTTTGTCTCTTGATTTGGGTCCCTGATTTTTTTTTTTTAGGACTTTATTTTTAGGAAAATGGAGCACATCAGTGCTAGGTGGGCATTATCTTAGCCAGTCAAATGAGTTCAAAAAGTATGTAGGTTGTGTTTTCTTTAGAAAAGAGATTGCTAATAGAATGAATTAGCTGCAGTGTAGCTCGTAATAAATAACCTTGTTAAAGACAAAATTGTTTCTGTGTTTTCTAGTTTGTAAACATAACTGTGTTGTCAGGCTGAAGATGTATGAGCTTGTTTTAGCACTGTATGGAAAGTAAAACAAAAGTAAGGAGCCTTGTTATTCAGTTATGAATGCCGTGAACCTTTCTGAGAAACAGTAATCTCAAAGGAATGCACTTAATTCCCTTTTAAGCTTTGTTAGGCAGGGAGAAGGTTTTCTGTGTTAAATTATTTCTGTGTTAATCTTGGCTAATATATAATACTGATCTTACCATCCCTTAGCTGTCTGAACAGGGAGCTGTTGATGCTTTGGATAAGTTCATAATAAAAACTTCAAAAACTAAAATGCATTTGTATTCTTTGGGTACTGGTGCGACACATGGACATGCAGTTTGCTTTTTAATCAGTTCAGAGATACAGAAAGAGAAAGGCCAGGAAAAGACAAGCATTTTCCTTCCCCTTCTTCATCCCTCTTTGACAGTAATAGATAATAATAAATCTTCTTTTGAAATAACTCTTTTCCTGTCTTTTTCTCAATATAGGTTGTGGCCGTTACGCAGGTGGCCAAGGTTATAATAGCATTGGGCACTTTTGTGGAGGATGGGCTGGTAATTGTGGTGATGGTGGTATTGGAGGAAGCACTTGGTATTTGGTTTGTGATCGATGCAGAGAAAAATATCTCCGTGAAAAGCAAGCAGCAGCAAGAGAGAAGGTATTTTAATTTCATCTTCATATGCTTAGCACTCTTATCTGCTTAATAGTACTGTGTTCACAACTTGAAAATAAGGTAGGACCAGTTTAAAAAATTCATAATTTCAGAAGATTTTGGAATATCCACTTGTGTCATTTATAGGTTTAAAATACTAAGACAGAAGCTTTGCTTGTTACTTCTGACTGGATTTCTTCCCTTCAAACAGTAGTGTTTTCAATTTTATAAAGTAATTTTATTTTCTTATCCCTGTATAACTGCAGTATAGAATGCAGTACCTAATTTTTTTAAAGCATGTGCCAGCTCGTTTAACTTCTATTTGTTTATTGAAATATGAGTACTGTTTTAACTTTATATGCTTATAGTTTCTTTAATGAACTTAATCCTCAATATGATTGGATATAAGATGCCAAACACTGGGCAGACTAGAGCAGTTTTTAATGGGAATAGTACGAAAGATGTTTTGCTTGTATTCATCTTCCATGTCCAATTTCAAATTCATGCTTAAATCATATGAAAAAGTTGGTGTTTTAAGATAGGCAGAAGAATGTTAATTTATTTTTTAAACTAGATTTGTTGAAACTTTTTGCACACAAAATTCATCCTGAGGCAAACATCAAAGCTTCCGTTTATTAAAAGTTTGCAAAGTTATGAAAACAGTGGAAGTGCCATTTTGTAATATAAAATATTTTATAACAGGAGACACCAAGCAACTTCAGTATGCGTGACACTGTCAGCTTCCTTGTGATGAAGTATGGTTTAAATATACATTTTTCTATTTTCTCTAGATTAAACAGTCTAGGAGAAAACCAATGCAAGTTAAAACTCCTCGTGCCTTGCCAACTATGGAAGCTCATCAAGTGATTAAAGCCAATGCACTGTATTTACTGTCACTGAGTAGCGCTGCTGAGCCCAGTATCCTCTGCTATCACCCTGCAAAGGCATTCCAGTCTCAACTTCCCAGTGTCAAAGAGGGAATTTCTGAAGACTTTCCCATTAAAATGCCATGTCTCTATCTACAGACTTTAGCAAGGTAATTAAAGGACGTTTATGAATATAGGTTTTAATACTTAACTATTTATAGTGTTGGATAAAAATATGTGTATAAACTAAACTAATATGTACATAGAAAAATAGATATTTTCCTAATTCTTTATGATCTTTATTCTTTTTCTTCCCTTTCCATGATCTTGTTCAATTTATTACACATATTTGATTCAAGGATCAAATATACCCTGAGTACCTTTTGGATGCTGAATGTTTTTTTAACAAGAGTTTAGTTTCTACTCAAAGAATTTAGAATTTCCTAAAGAGTTTAACTTAGTGTGTTAGTACCAGACATATGTGCTGCTTTTCATTCTTCACAGTTAAAAATAGTAGGAAGGAAACCAGAAGACTTGTTCTTACTTGGTATTTCTAAGTAGATTTCACTGTAGTGGCTCATGTTTATGATGGATCGACATTTGCGCATACAATACATAATGGAAATGCCTAATACTAAATTACAGCAAAGGGTGCTTCCCTCTCCCTGTTGGTTGAGAATGTTATTATATTTTCCACTGGCACTTTAAGTCACAGTCAGCTTAAATGCATTAGGTGATGAGTAAAGGAATAGCGTTGGCTGGCAAAATGTATTGACAAAGGACTTGTGTGTTTGTGTGTTTCAGGAACTTGTAATTCTTAATCCTAATTTTAAAATCTAATTTGATGTAGGCATCATCATGAAAACTTTGTTGGGTACCAGGATGACAACCTCTTCCAGGACGAGATGAGGTACCTGCGCTCAACTTCAGTACCTGCACCGTACATCTCAGTTACTCCTGATGCAAGCCCTAATGTCTTTGAAGAGCCAGAAAGTAACATGAAATCTATGCCCCCAAGGTACTTCTTGTAACTCTAGGTACTACATACAAATGCTAAAGCATTAGCATAGCACCAGTTAAAAAAAAAGCAGCCCAGATCCATCTCTGAAATCACTTTTCTGTAGTAAAGTCTTAGGTTTACAACCTGAATATCAAAAAAGTTTGTTTAGAAATTGGTGAGGGCTCTTAGCATACCTCAGGGAAATTTATCCATCCATCCATTCCAGGCCTGCTTATTTCCCCATAGACACAAATACAATTTTTCCAGAATCTTCAGAACTACAGAAATGAAGAACTGATCTAAAGAGCAATGGTCCAAGGACCATAGCTGTTGCAGTGTTTTTCCCCCTGTACTTCTATAACATAACTGGCTGGAGTGCAGATTAATGGCTTTTTTGAAAGGAAGTGGCAGTTATCTTCCTTTCAGGATCTCATTCTGAAGGGAATTTTGAAGAGGAGGAAATTCCATCACCTTACGTTTTTCAAAGTAAATGTTGCTGATTCTGTAAGAAGTTAAAATAACACTGAAGAAATTATAATTTTGTGCTATCTGGGACCAAGAGTGCTAGATGGTTTCTGTCAGGTTAAGGCAGTTTCTTACCTCATTAAATTTACTATGATCTAATTAAAGCAATTATAAGGGGAGAAAAAAAAAAAAAAGGCTCTTATTGTTTCTTAATAATAGCCTGAAATCAGCTTAGATGCTCTGTGTTTTCAGGTGTCAGACAGTGATTCCTCATAATGAGGATGTAATGAAGAGAAAAGTTGCTTTTAATCTGTTTTTATTGCAATCTGTTACATTTCATACTGATTGCAAGAACAGTTTATTGGAATATTACAGTCTACAATGTAGTCTTTTCCGAAATATAACTTTTCTGAAAAAACTCCTTAAGAGTGCATCATACTAGTAGATTCCTTTATTGAAACTGTGGACACTGTGGTCTCCTGAGGCCTATAGGGACAGCAGAAGCTGGGAGTTCTTTTGCAGACTGTAAGAAGTCCACTGAAGGTAAGGAGTAAAACATGTCAGAGGCATAGCCATAGCAATTGAATATTGTCTTTAAGACTAATAATGTTGCTTCACATAAAGTTCTAAATTTCAGTTGGCTTGCATATTAAAAATTCACCCCATAGAAGTTTTCGCGTGCATTCTCGGCAAATTTGGTCTGAAGTGTCGATTTAGTCATGATCTGAATGTTTATGTTCTATCTAAAAAATACCTAAATTCTTGGAACTTACCGTGTATATTAGTACATTTGTTTATAAAGCACTTTACATGCATTTTCACAATGTGTAATTCTAATACTCCTTCTTTTCCAGCATTTAAACAGTTATTAGGTACATAAGAAACAGTTTCATGCAGTACTATCACTGCCATAACGAAATGCATGTGTCTTTATTTTAATAGTTATATCAAATTCAAGTATACCCTATATATTCATTAATGGGTCTGTAACTTCACTGATTTCTTTGTAGTTTGGAAACCAGTCCAATAACAGACACAGATCTTGCGAAGCGTACAGTCTTTCAAAGATCATACTCAGTTGTTGCATCAGAGTATGACAAACAGCACTCAATTTTGCCAGCACGTGTAAAGGCAATCCCTAGGAGACGAGTCAACAGTGGAGATGCAGGTAAGAGCACAGACATGAGAAGCAGGAGAAAAGATATTCAAGGATATGGCACTGGGTTTGCAGTTCTTCTTGGAAACTGTAGACAAATAGGGGGGGTTTGTAACTACATGTAATGGCTTTTATTTCTGTTTATTAATAAACATTATCTATTTGTTAATCCACACAGAATTAACCTAAAAACAGTTCAGAAATTACCGTGGTTCTGAAATCTGTGGTGCATCATTTGTGCTTGATGTAAAAGTTAAAGTGGTATTTTCTTTCTCAGTTGAAACACCATTTTTCCACATTGCTTTTTTTTTTTAACGCATTTTCCTCATGGAAAAAATGATTTAAAATATCAGTCCTAAAATTGCTCTGTTGCTTTTTATTTTTACTGTAGCTATACAATTAAAATGCACAAAGAATCTAATGTATGCATATTTTTATGCTTTTGAATAGAAGTGGGGTCCTCTCTCCTGAGACATCCATCTCCTGAACTTTCTCGGTTAATCTCCGCCCACAGCTCTCTTTCCAAAGGAGAGAGAAATTTCCAGTGGCCAGTATTGGCATTTGTAATCCAGCATCATGATCTGGAAGGACTTGAAGTAGCAATGAAACAAGCCTTACGGAAATCTGCTTGCCGAGTCTTTGCCATGGAGGTATTAACATACTAATGGATCTTGTGTGATTAAAATGAGACATTTTTAAATTTTGTCTCATATTTCTTCTAAAAATTAACTTTTGATGTGCAGTAACCCTATTCTGAAAGTTTGCTTACTAATATTAGTCACTCTTAAGTGGTGTTAATACAGAAGTATGGCCTGTAAACCTTCAGTAGTTTTATCTGTCATGTAGAAAATGTCTGATAAAAATACTATTAATCAGTTACAGAAGTACTGTTTTCTCCTCATTTGCTGAGCATCTTCCTGGTTCTACTTATCTTTTTAAGGTCTTTCTTTAGAATTGTTTTGATGTTGGTAATATCTAGATACTTCATAACTTCCTTCTGATATGGGTGAATGCTACCCCTGTTATGTAGCTAGTGAATGAGCAGACAAAAGATCCATTAAAGATTAATTGCTTCAGTAAAAGCTGAGGCCATCTTTTTTTTTTTTTAATTCCAGCTAAGATTTGGTAGCATTTCTTCTGAACCTGTATACAGGATGGTATTTTTCAGGCGTTTGTAACGTGAAAATATAGGTGGATTTTCTCAGATTAAGTACCACAACTCTATTGTTAAACACCACCCATCAAATTTCCAAACATCAATATGCAGCAATATTGGAGTTTTAGAAGAACATACGAATGTTACAATTTTTAAAAAACCCTTTTTTTTCCCTCATTAGGTTGATTTTTTTTGTGTCTGATTTTTTTTTTATTAATTATGTCAATGGCAGAGACCAAACAAGGAAACCAAATCTCAGCCTAGAGAGTTCTAAATTAAAAAGGGTATTTACTTTGTTAACCGATTCGATTAGTAAGGAGTGCTTACTTTGTCCTATAATTGTGCCTAAAAATACATAAGAACTTTGCCTTTTTTATCTTTAGAGGTTTTGTCAAAGAACTTATTTTTGTTTAAGGTGTTTCTACATTACTTTGCTATGTCCCCTGTAATACAGTTGTCGTTTTAATAAACTGTTTCAGCCTCTCACTTGAAGACCTTACTTACATGTCCAAAAGCATCAGTGCACCTCCTTACTTACATAAATGGTTTAAGAAATGGTTTTACTCCAGGTTTCCGTAACCAATTGATAACTCTTTGTGTATATTTTATTTTAGGCTTTCAACTGGCTTCTTTGTAATGTCATTCAGACAACTTCTCTTCATGATATTTTGTGGCATTTTGTGGCTTCCCTGACTCCTGCACCTGTAGAGCCTGAAGAAGAGGAAGATGAAGAAAATAAATCAAATAAAGAAAATGCAGAACAAGTGAGCCTTCATTTTGTAAATACAGTGTCTCTGTGGATTTTGCAGTTTATTATGTGTTGAAAAAAACCCAAACAACAACAAAAATAATCCTCTCTTTGTGAAGCAGAACCTTAATTATGTAATAAAAATTCATAGTCTTAAATTGTAGTTGAAGTCTTTTGATAGTTATAGATAAATAAATTTTTCTTTTAAATTGCCAGATTAAAAAATAAAATAAAAACCCAACAAAACAAAAGGCAAAAGCATACGCACATTGCTGATCCAGGATCAAAACAAATTACCGTTGGCTTTTTATTCTTGCTTTGTCCCTCCCCTCCCGCCCCCCCCCCCCCCAAAAAAAAAAGAACAGGTAAAAAAGGAAATGTTTTGAGAAAAACTTTGTTCTTTGGTCTGTTGTGTCTTTTAGTGCTTTAATTATATATACACTACAGATAGAAAAATCTATAGTTCTGAAAATGTAGCACATAAAAAGGTATAGCCTACCATTTCACTCTTCCAAAAAGTATCTTCAATCTCTTCTAGATTTAGCTCTAATTGAAAACATAATCATGTCCACAATGAATAGCTCAAGAAATTATGCTTGTGTTATCAGTAAGTCAGGGTAATTTTTATCTTCAAATCTAATTCAGCTTTGAAAGAAGTTCTGAAATGAGTCTTTTCAGCATTGCAGCCCTGGTACACTGCTGTTGTCATTTACAGAGCAACTCTATTCTTGTCTTGAATTTTATGTGGCATATCAGCTTTCCAAAGTTACTGTTTCAACATGCAGAATTATAATTCAACTTATTATCAAGTGTGCCAAATTCTTTTATGTATACATTAAAGCTGATTTGCAGTAGCTCTATGTATTATATTCTGAAGATTGTTCCTGTGCTTGGCTCCAACAGTTTTCTGCCTGTAGTAATTTGAGCTGCTACATCAAAAGCACAGCTAGAATGAAGGAAATGTGTTGTAACTGGTCCTTATCCTGGTCAGCCTCCAAAATAAGAATCTTTACTGTATAAATGAAATATTGTCTTAGCTGTAGTTTGGATAATTACTGACTGAAAGATAAAGGATACTGGAAGGGAGTGTTAAGTCACTTCTGCTCTGGTGAGAATGCTGCTTCTCTTTTGATGTAATGAAGGGGAGAATTAAAAAATTTCCCTGGGTTTTGTGGTTCAAGCAGGATCAGATTTTCTTTTAATAGAGTAGCAGGGGAAAGAGTTTCTGTCCTTCATAGATCAGTCTGTCCTTGCCTTTTGAAATAGGGTATCATGATCAGAACCTTCTTCTCTTTCTCTGGTAATCTTCCTCATAACACATCTTGTTGGACCTTATCCTCTTTAGTCCTCTGCCTTTGTACTTACTGCTCAGTGGAACTTGTCCCACTACACAACCATTCTGATACTGACACACCTTAATTAAGAATCATCATTTCCACAGCTCTGAAGAAATAAGGCATCTGATAGCCTTAGCTTCATTACCAAGTTTGTTATGGCGGGGGTTTGCTGCTCAAAAAAGTTGTTACAGCTGGAATATGTTACTTTTTTCTAGTTTGTTTATTTTCAAATTATTGCAACACAGTTTTTCACATCTTTAACTCGTGACAAATATATGGCAGTATGCAGAATACTTCCCAAATTCCTTGTTAGGTGTTCATATATAAAATGTTATTGTAAAAATTCTCTGACAGGAGCTGCTTTGAAATTTACATTTGTTACAGGATTGTTGCAGTTACTCTTCAACCAAATACCATAAATGTTTTTATTTCTACTTACTTAACCTATTTTCTCTAAAGTCTCTTGACATACAAATTGCTTTGCATCTTAGGAAAAAGACACAAGAGTATGTGAACATCCTCTGTCAGATATAGTGATTGCTGGCGAAGCAGCCCACCCATTACCCCACACATTTCATCGCCTGCTCCAGACAATCTCTGATCTTATGATGTCTCTTCCCAGTGGTAGTGCATTACAGCAAATGGCCTTAAGGTAAGCACAAATTAAGAAAAATCACAAAAGGCTGGAAACACTGTAACATTATATATGAAAAGATTTTGTAATGTAGATAGGAAGTTTGAGGCAACTGTGTGTATGTGTAAAAAGGAGCATGTCTTTCCATGTAGGAAAGATATAAGATCTCTATGTGTTTATACATATGAATAATTGTATAAAAAGGATGTGTAAAGAAAAACATATTTGCTCTTACATTCTTTATTGTATCCACTATTAAAAAAAATCATAACCAATAATCAGCTGTTAAAATTTAGGAGAAGTTTATTGCTGCCTTCCTCAAAATGATGTGTGGAACCACTTAAGATACTGCAAATATTTGAAGTTAAAAGTTTATAGAACATATTTTGAGAAACATAAGTGTAATTGTTCCACTGGTGGGTTGTGTCTTTTAAACAATATGCAAAATTTCAGATTGCACTTAATGTGTTTTCAGGTGCTGGAGTCTCAAATTCAAACAATCGGATCACCAGTTCCTGCACCAGAGCAATGTTTTTCATCATATCAACAATATTTTGTCTAAATCTGATGATGGAGATAGTGAAGAGAGTTTCAGTATCAGTGTTCAGTCTGGTTTTGAAGTCATGAATCAGGCAAGTATTATACCTCTCAGAAGCAGAGGTCAGTTGTGAACAGCCTGTACTTCCTATGGTAATTCTGTTTAAATTAAACATTCTTCTGTGCATTGTAGTATTTCCTTGAATGTGTCTCAGTTTGGAATCTTGTTGCTGATATTCAGGTTCTCATGCTTGGCTTCAGAGTTTCAAATATTGACCCTTAGTATCTGGAGCAATGCTTGTAAGAGTTTGTTTGCAAGTAAAGTAATTGGGGATCTCTTACAGTTCATTTAGGTAATTCGTTTGGGTTCTTTGAGTTAGTTAATCTTTTAAATGCTGTGTACTTCTAGTTTGTACTTGCTTAGATTTTTTTCTTCTGTTATTCTGAGGAGCACAAATTAATACTCCTGATGAATATCTTTAAAGTGTTTTCTTCCTATATTTATATTAATAAATGTATTTATTAATACATTTAGGCATTTATTAATATATTTAGCTGTTAGGTATTAATACTTCCTTTGTTTAAAGGACTGAATAATTTGAACCAATAAATGACAAATTTATTCTATGAATCAAAGGGTATGTTCCTTCAGAAGTGTCTATATAGTTTTAAGAATTGTAAATAATGCCTGTATTTGGGCTTGCTTTCAGATATTGTAGCAATTTCCATTTGTTTTCACAGGAACTCTGTATAGTAGTTTGTCTAAAAGACCTAACCAGCATTGTTGACATTAAAACATCAAGCCGACCTGCCATGATTGGTAGTTTAACAGATGGATCTACAGAAACGTTCTGGGAGTCAGGAGATGAAGATAAAAACAAAACTAAAAACATCACAATTAACTGTGTAAAAGGAATTAATGCACGTTATGTGTGTGTTCATGTAGACAATTCCAGAGATCTTGGGGTAAGAGGAGATTGAAATGAAATGTCTCTTACTGAAGGTACATAGTCAAAGCTGTATGCATTTATCAATCAAGAACCACCATTTTCTTTGTCCAGTTCAGTTTGTAATTCTAATTTAGAACCTCGCATTTCAAAGTAAACTTTGTAATTCCTGTGGTCTTGAAAGCAGTACCTGGTAGAATCAGACCAATCCAACTGAATTTGCAGTTTGCATGAACCCGTGACTGGGAAACAGTTCTCAGTGGCATGTTCAATTTCAAATGTGTTTTCAAGCATTTAATATTTTCATAAGTTACCTTTCCTGCTCACAATTTTTATAGAAACATTCAAATAAGGAGTTTTCATAAAATCAAAAATATTTTCTAGATTTATTTTATGTTTGCATGTTTATTGATCTGTGCAGTGATATTACAAGTCTGTCTTTATTTCTGCTCCAGCTTTAATAAGGGAGCAGATTACACTCTTTCTTTTTTTTGAGAGAGAGAGAGCTGTGCTTTGGAATTCTTTGTCTTGGTTTTGATCATTTTTAATTTTTTTTCTTTTTTTTTGACAAAACAGCTTGTCTCTTCTATGAATGTACTCTCTTAATACAGAAGAAATAGAAGTCAGGTGAAGTGTTTTGTTCTTATTTTGCTTGTCTGTTGCAGAACAAAGTGACTTCAATGACCTTCCTAACTGGCAAGGCAGTAGAAGATCTCTGCAGAATAAAGCAGGTAAACATTTTAATAGTTGACACTGAAAAATTGCTGTCATTTTTTTGGCTCTACGTAGCAGAGAAAATTCTAAGCAAATTGCTTCCATTCCTCATAGTAGATAAATTACATTACAGGTATCAGGCATCGTAATATTCTTGGAAAATACGGTATTATTACTGATGGAATTCAATCATATATACTGAATATTGTCATAGAATCATAGAATGGTTTGCGTTGGAAGGGACCTTAAAGATCATCTCGTTCCAATCTCCCCCTGCCATGGGCAGGGACACCTTCTACTAAGTGTTGATCAAGCTTTTACTCTTTTACTGAAACAGAACAGGGTGATATAAAATCTTCCTTAGATTGTTTTTTTTTATTACTATAGCTGGAAGAAACAGCATCAAAGAAAGGAGAAGAGATCATCTAGAAAGTTAAAAAAAAAAGACTGTTTAGGTTGTGTTTTATAAGGACCAACAAGCTGTTTGATTTCTTTTAGGGTACTTCTATCTGAATATACCTGAAATACTTGCATTAAGTAGTACTACTCATTGTTCAATATTCTGATGCCCAGCCTAGTGTAAAACTGTCATTGCCTTTTATCTGCTTCATGGAATCATTTTTTGTTAGAGAAATGCAGTTTAAAAGTTAGCAGAATGCCATGAGAAAGGAGAAAATAAATCATTTGTCCTCAGCACAAGTTTTTCTAGTTACATGTTCTAATACATATCTATAGCACACATTTTATCCTGCCATTTTAATTCTTCAGGTAACTGAAGACTTCTGTACTGAAACTCAAGTTCAGAATGGTATTCAGTCTTTGTACTTCTGTTGCTAAGCTATGTGAGAGATGCATAGTTTTTACACATAGAACAGTGTACGTTGAACAGTGTATTTTGACACTGATGTGACCCATCAAAGATACCTAAGGTTTCAAGCAAGCAGGTACCATATTGGGCTCAAAACTTTATTGTTTGGATTATCGACAGTCAGTGATAAAATTCTTCAGGAGGACACATTTTCTTACTACAGAGAGACAGTTTGCTTTTCTCTACTTCATAGCCTCAGAAAGCATTTAAGGCACAGATACAGCTCCAAAAGATGTTACCAATCTGAACAAACAATACTTTGGTATAGTGGGCTCATACTAAACAGTGAAGTGTGAGTGTGTATATAAGCAAACAGATCTAAAGTGTGTGTGTGTGTGTGTGTGTTTCTCGTGAGTGTATATATGTAGATGAAAAATATTGATGGACACATACACTCCCAAAAAAATATTATTTATCATTTATTATTTTATTGTGAGGATACTGACATGGTATGCCTGGCCATCTAGCTGAATAAAAGAAGGCCATGGCAGAACTCAAGTGCTGGACTCAGGATCATTTGTACAGCTTGTTTGTTATCTTTCTCCCTGGCCTTACTTCTGTCTGCTCAAACCCAGTGCCCAGGCATTTTTCCAGGGATGGTTCACTCCCAGAAGACAGGTGGGACTTGATTAAGCTTTGCTTCTCTTTGCTGGACAGTCTTCTGTCGCTTCTCCAACAGGTTTTTTTATCTTCAAACACACCCACATACTGTACCCTAACTCATGCATATTTCTGTCTCACGGTATTTAAAAAAATTAGTCAGTCTTGTCTGCTGCAGCGCATTTCAGTGGCAGACACTAAGCATTAGCACAGAAATGGGAAAGAACAGATGTTAGCTTCATTATCACTGAGCCTATGGATGTGAGGGAGGACTTAGAGCAACCCAAGGGAGACTTATGCCAACTTGGGTTGCTCTGAGCAAAGATGTGAGGCACTGCGTTTTTTTCCTATGAGTAGTGACATCACAGTTTAAATCATATGACAGTATTTTTAAAAGCATATTTATTTTAAGATAATCTGAATTTGATACAGTTCATTTGTCCTTTTTTCAGTTATTAAGTCTTGCATCTCTTGATATCGGACACTGACTTCCACAGAGTTACAATTTCTGTGGCAGGGTTTTATGTGAACAGGAATGAAATAACTACTGATAAGCGTGTGTTATATTTTCATTTAAACTATGGCAGTTTGGGGGTTTTTGTGTTCTTCTAATTAAAAGTAGTGAGCAAATATTTCAAAGTGGTTTTGAATGTGTGAACTGTTGCTTAGAGGGTAAAAGGTGTAGCTAGGCCAGTATTTCTAATAGGCTTTAAAAACAAAAAATAAATGGCTGTATGTCATTGGTTTATAAGTTTATTTTTAATTTGAATTCATGAGGTTGAATGTTTTTATAATTACACATGATAGTCTTACTGCACAGGATGAAAATTTCATTTCAGAAACTATATTGGCTCCATTGATATATGAAGGGTTTGTTTTAGAGGTAAATGACTTACTTCATTTGATGTTATGTCATTTCCCATCTTTCCCATATTCCTGTTTAATAGGTAGACTTGGATTCAAGACATATTGGCTGGGTAACAAGTGAACTTCCTGGGGGTGATAATCACATCATCAAAATTGAATTGAAGGGTCCAGAGAACACACTAAGAGTTCGACAAGTGAAAATTCTTGGATGGAAAGATGGTGAAAGCATTAAAATAGCAGGCCAGATTTCTGCAAGTGTTGCTCAACAAAGAAACTGTGAATCTGAGACACTGCGAGTATTCCGACTTATTACATCCCAGGTGGGATTTTAATGATGTGAAGTCATTAAACAGTCATTTAATTATGTGAAATAATAATCATTTAATGATGTGAAATCATTAAATACTATGAAAGTTAGTGTAAGTTGTAGACTTGCAGTACTTTATGTTTATATTATAATGTAAAATGTCACACTTGCACAAGTTTATCTTTCAGATAAGCTAATTGTCACAGTCTTTCTTCCAGGTATTTGGAAAACTCATCTCCGGAGATGCTGAGCCAACCCCAGAACAAGAGGAAAAAGCATTGTTGTCTTCCCCAGAAGGAGAAGAAAAAGTACACAATGTATTTATTTGTATTCTATCAATAATACTTTGCTGAAAACATTACTCAGGATGATTTTCAGTATTTGTCCTATGTCTTATGCTAAATAATTTTCAGATCAGAACAGAAATAAAAGGTCACAATTGCTTATTTTTTAAAATTAATCATTGATACTGGGTTTTATTAGTAAATTATAATTGGGGCATATCTTTTAATGGAAGCATCAATTATGCCTACAATTACAGAAATACTTGACACCTGCAGCGATGATCAGCCTGAAAGTCCTTCTTGCCTATTATCTTGTGCCTCAGGAGGGGCTCTGTTGGTGTTTCTAGTATTAAGAAACCACACTAGTATCCTTTTATCCCATAGTCTTCCATCTTCCAGCAAGAATAGTTTCATAATTGCTCCTGAAGAAGTCCCTGTATATGGACTGTTGTGTTTAACAGCCAAAATTGGACTGTCCCCAGTGAAAGGTATTCTGGTTTTCAGATTATAGATGGTTTTGCTCTAGCCAGAACCTTGTGACAATAAGTTCCATAACTGAATTATTAATTTCTAACAGTGTATTTTTCTCACACATGCTGTGTGGTAACTTAGTTATGTGTTCCCTGTTTCTTTTATTGTGAAATGTATGAACTGAAAAGTATATTCCATGCACTGCTTTACAGAAGTAATCAGTGAAGAGGCTGAATCTTGGATAATTATACTTGACTTGTTTTGCTTATAGATTATTTTATATTTATGTTCTATTTTATTTCATGATCAAATTTCCTCTAAGAAAGTAAATACATCTAAGGGGTATTTATTAACCATAGTTAAATTGATTGTGCTTAGATATCTTATTTCTCTGTAACAGAAAGCTACAAACTTTTACAACAGCTTGTTGACATTCCATGCCAATTGCTACAGTAATTAGGAAATGTTCTTGAAACCCTTGATCTAATATTAAATACACTTTTTATAAAGGCAACATCAGATGCAGACCTCAAGGAGCACATGGTAGGGATCATATTCAGCCGGAGCAAACTGACAAATTTGCAGAAGCAGGTTTGTTCATTCTGAAATGCTTTGTAGTTTAAATATTTGTGTGTTATAATAAATGTGCCCATTTTCAATGAATATAGAACCTTTTATTTGACACCCTCAGTTCTTCTGTTGTTCTTTATAATCAAATTTTTATTTACATTTTAAATAGCATGTGTGTGTATTTTATATGAAAAACCTGCTGAAACTGACACTGAATAAAATCCATTTTAATAGGATTAAAAAAAAACCCTATGCTATTATACTCAATTTGAAAACTTTATAGTTGAGTTATAAATGGTACTCATTCATGTTTGCTGGTAATAATAGCATTATAGTAAGCCACCTCAAATTTCTAGGAGAGGTTCAGTGACAGTTTAGATTCTTAAGTTTGCACTTTTTCAGCCCATTTCTGTAATCAAAAAGTATTTAGGTTTGATAAAATTTAATCATAAAAAAGTAATCCATGCATATATCATTAAATTATTATTTCCTGCAGCCAGTGAAAGATTGGCTTTGTGGTCTTCTTACTTATCTTTGTTTTTCTTAAAAAAGTGGGTTTTCTTTTGTTTTTTTTTTTAATACTTTCTTTTTAATATACCAACTAAAGCATCTCTAATATTGTCTTCATTAAAGCTATCATGAGACAGACATTGCTGTAAAGATTTTCACAGTAATACAAGAGGTTTTGGATTAATTTTGAAGTTTTTTAGACTAGTAAGTCTAATCTACCTTTTTGTCACCCATCCTAGAAAGCTTTCAAATCTCTTCAGTATGCTTTTTAACATGCTATTGCTAAAATGAAAACACAGTTTCTAAGATTTATTTTTTAAGCTTCCTGAAGAGTAAACTAAAGAAGAGCCTAAGTATTTTAGTAAGTCCTTTTCTTTTGTGAGTGTTTAGTAAATGTATTTCTTTGGTTGTTTTTTTGGGGGGGAAGGAGGAAGTAGTGTTAACCTGAATTATATGCAAAAAGCAAATTAAAAGGTAGAAACTACAATAAGAAAATACTTATTTCAATGAAATTTTCCAGAATGAAGACGAGCAAATTCAGTATTAAATCTAAATATCAATTATGAAGAATTTTGATCTTTATTCTGAATTTAAATCTAAACTTTATTCTTCATTTGAATTTATGTTGAAAGTAATTTAAGTACAGACCAAATTTCACAGGCTTCCCTTAGTCATAGTTGTGAAGTTACATAAAACGCAATCTTTTTCGCTTTGTAAAGAGTTGTTATGTATTCGGCTTCTGTTTGGATAGGTATGTGCTCATATAGTCCAGGCCATACGAATGGAAGCAACCCGTGTGCGTGAAGAATGGGAGCATGCCATCTCCAGCAAAGAGAACGCCAACTCGCAGCCTAACGATGAAGATGCCTCTTCTGATGCTTATTGCTTTGAGCTGCTGTCAATGGTTCTGGCACTGAGCGGTTCCAACGTAGGCCGGCAGTATCTGGCTCAGCAGCTGACTCTGCTCCAGGATCTCTTCTCATTGCTACACACTGCTTCTCCCAGGGTGCAGAGACAGGTGAGTGCTAACTGTTCCTTGTCTTGGTATTCCTAGAAAAAGTCTCAAATCCTGTAATTGTGTGCATGATAGTATAATATGTATTTGAACTTCTTTTTTTGTGTGTGTTTTCTTTTAAAAAATGTTTTCCCAATGATGTTCAGATCATCTCTGTATTCCACGTAGAGAGTAACTGTAAAAGCCATCCCTTTTGCTATTGCAGTCATGAGGAGAGGGCACAACTGGTGAGCCTTTAACAACACATTACAAAATCTTTTTTTGGAATTTAAGTGTCAGGCTTGGGATTTTTTTTCCCCAGTTTTTTAATGGGGTTAAGATGATAAAGTTTTACGTGTTTGATATATGAATACATATAAAAAAGTCCAGCATCACCAAAATTTGACTGTATAGAACTATTTGTAGGAAGCACAGTGTTGAAGAAAATGACGGCTACAGTTACGAAATTGAAGCAAATTCACTTTTGAGTAAGTTTGTAATGCGCTGTCTCCAAGAGCTAGAACTCGGGTGTAGGAACCCAGAGCTGCTTAGTTAATGCTTATGTCACTATGAACCTCAGTCAGCAAACTATTCTGAAACACCTTTGAGTATTATCACTCTTCCCTTTTCATGTCTCTGTTCTGAAGGATTTGGAATAGGGCAGGATAAATTGCTTTCTCAAACCATACAATAAAGGGACATACGGTTTGCTTGGCAGGGGCTGTTACTGAAATAAAGTAGGATGCACAAAAGCAGTTAATCATTTTGTGTGTCCTAATGGGGATCTTTCACAAGGAAACGGCTTTCATTTTGGAGTGATGCTGCAAAGGATTCTTCAGTGAATCTAAACTTCACAGTATTCAGTGAATCTTACTTCACAGCATCCCAGTTGTTCATATTTCAATTCATCCGTGTAATGTTACATATGTTCAGTTTGTCAGGTATTTCTGTCACAATGACTAAAAAGTCCTTTTTAATATGAAAGGTCAAAATCTGAAGTTGGCACTGCCTTGTGATGGCAGTACTTAAATTTAGACCAGTGTTATGTGGTACATTTCAAAATTGAAGTTCATGCATTGCATGTCTCCCTTATTTATAAATTATTACATGTAATTGCAAGAACCAGAGGTGCTCCTTTTAAATATGAGCTATTAATTTTCCATATCTCAAAAGTATGAAGTTTAAAAGCTGTTTTTGTTTATTTATTGCATATAAGAATTCTGTATAAAAAGCAGTTAAGTTTTCAGGTGTGGAAGGAAACTACTGAGGTGACTGCTTATTTTTTAGGAAGAACTCATGCCCACTGCACTGTAGGGAAAGGGTCTGAGAGTGAGTTGTACAAATAACTCTATCACAGTTGTCCTAACTCTAGTACCAAGCATATTTTGGTTATTATATGAAGACCAAGTATTATTTGAGTGAGACTGGTTCTAGACTCTGTCATTGTCTCGTTGGGTATATTAATAAGCACTTCAAAGCAAGATACAAACCTTGCAGAATTTCTTACGCTTGTGATTAAGTGCAGAGAGTAGATTCAGTCCTTCTTACTGAAATAACTTGTGAAGAAAGACCTTATTTGATTTTGTTTGAAAACTCCAGCTGTCTCAGTAAGAATTGTGGTGGTCTGATTTTATTCTCCAGGTAACGTCATTACTAAGACGTGTTTTGCCCGAAGTAACCCCTAGTCGCCTGGCCAGCATTATAGGAGTGAAGTCTCTTCCGCCTGCAGATATAAGTGATATCATTCACTCAACAGAAAAAGGAGACTGGAACAAACTAGGTATCTTAGACATGTTTTTGGGATGCATTGCCAAAGCCCTCACTGTACAGCTAAAAGCCAAAGGAACTACAATAACAGGGACAGCTGGTACTACTGCAGGCAAAGGAGTTACTACAGTCACACTTCCCATGATCTTCAATTCAAGGTTTGTTTAAAAATGTGTATATATTCTCAAGCTAAAAACACAAAATAATGACATTCTTTGAAGTCAGTTCTGTTGTCTTTGTTTTATAAATGGAAAAAAATTTGTAACTGAGTATGAATTTCTCTGCTGGATTTTGACAAGTAGTAACTAATTACTTGAATTTATTTCATGTCCTTTGCAGCTATATTCGGCGAGGTGAAAGCCACTGGTGGATGAAGGGTTCAACACCTACACAGATCTCAGAGATCATTATTAAACTCATTAAAGACATGGCAGCAGTAAGTTTCTGTCCTTTAAATGTGTGGAGGATATTCAGATATTTCTGATAATGAAGAGTAGATATTTTAATTACTTTCTGTTACACTTAGTACTGGGTTGAGCTGTTTAAACGTGAGTCAGTCTGAAAAAGAAAAGGGTATAGTCTTCTAAGTAGAGTCTCGGCCTAGAAGCAATAGGAACTGAGTTCTGATTCTGCTAAAGAGAAATCTAGTTTTGAAATAAGCTTTTAAATAAGTCACTTGTCCCAGAAACTTAAGAAGTAAACAGTAATTGTGTGTCATTTTCTACATTATTAACTTAGAAGCCTGATTTTTTTTAATCTTGAGCACTCAGAACTCCACTTGGAACCACAAGGTGTCTGTGGAGTAAGAGAATAGTGTTGTTTTCGTGTCACTGTATGTAGATTTTGTATGTGGAATTTCTGGTAAAGACTGCATGTTAAGACTGCTGCCTTTCAGTCTTACTGAAATCTACATTTATAGTTTTTTATTACTTTAACCATCCGGGTTGAATTCTTCCATAGTTATTTCTGCTACAGGCAAGTTTTTTGGCAGAAGAATTCAATAGAAAGTGATTCACCTATTTCCAAAGTCAAAAAAACAAAACACAACAGGTTTTCTATATATTACTGGGAAAAGAGTTTAGATGGGAGGTTGGTTTTGTTTTCCTTAGTTCTGTACCTATTTCAATGAGATGCTCTAAATGACCCAGATTTTCCCTTTGATTAATCTTTGAAAGCTTTTTCAATATGTTCAACTTTAGAGTCCTGTTTTCTAAGTCATTCATTGTGTTTAGATTAAGGAGATGCCTTCTCAAAGTTGCTGAAGCTGGATGGGAATTCTCTGCAATTGCTGCTGTTGATTCTGACCAAGATTTCAGAATCTCACAATTCATCTTTAGTTAAGAGTTACAATTAAAGTGTGTCTCATCCCTCAGCAGTGCTGATCCTTGCATAAAATGGTCACTTAGTCTTTGCTTCCAATGGTCCAGTGACTAGAGGGAAAAGGTCTGTTGTAGGTGCCACTGTGATTCTGCATGATGGATTTCTATTTCTGCTTACTTTATCAACATTTTAGGAAATTGCATATAAAAATTAGGACCCCCCAAAATAGCAGTTGCAAAGGCAATTAAGTACTCAGAACATAGTAAATGCCAGGATTAAGGTGGTGCGCACCTGTATGTATACACCCATATGTTTTCCTCAGGCACCCTGCTTCTTCTGGTGTGTAAGATACAACATATACTGGGAATTAATTGAGGGAGGGGTAACTTGTCAAGACTTTTTTTAAGGGTTGTCAGTATCATCTGTAGCTATTTCGGTAGGTATGCTTTGGGTAAGCAGGAAAACATCAGGAAAATGCTGGATTCTCTTCTGCTGCATTTTTAAATAGTTTTGGGCAAGTCTTTTAAAGCAAACTCTGTGGTCCTTGTTTTATGGGATTTTGGCTCACATGATGATGGGAGAGCCTGTCCCTTAATCAAGAGCTGATTAAAACTAAGCTGAGCAGAAGCTTTTGCCAGGTATCAAAGAATGAGGTCAGTAGAAATAGATAATGGCTGGCTGACTAGAATCAGATGCTTGTATTGTTGTCTAAGCATCTCCTCCAGCCAAGACCTTCACCAGTGAAACTTTTGTATCTGCTAATATCTGGTTCTCCAAAACCAGTGTAGAATTAGTAGGAAAGTTCTTAAACCTCTGATGTTAGATATGGCAACTTGTATGCTTATCCAGGGTATGCTAGGCTCCATCTCCCACATATGTGATAGCTTTCCAATAGTGCTGGCTGTTGGGTCTTGAATTCTCGTTTAAGAGAATGTAAATATTTATTACAAAAAGAAAGGGATCAAGTCACTTAGCTGGAGTGTAGTCCTCTCAGGTGTGTATATAGATCCCTTTCAATAGATTCCGAGTTGCTTAAAGAGTAGCAGCTCCTAAAGGAATGGCTGGGACTGAGTTTACTCTGAAGTATTCAGCAGACAAACAATAAGGTTCTTCCTCTCCTCTTCTATGAAGAAGAGATCTGGACTTTATTCCCTTTCATTCTAGATGAGGGAGACCTGACTGAGACTGTTTAAGGGTGGGAGTAATGTTTCCTGATTATGTTTTGTCAGGGACCTCTGTGGTTTAGGCATACTCGAAACTTGTTCTGGGGTTCAGCCCTGTTACCCAAAGGGGAGTGGGGGAATAGAGGGGTCCTAGTTTAAAAACTTTTATCTGAAGCTTTTTAGAACTGTATCTACATCCGAGTCAGTCACTATTAGCCTTCCTTTTTAGAGTCCAGTGAGTCTTAACTATTTTTGTCACTTTTAGCGTGAGGTTTAGAAATTTAGAGATTACATTTAGGATTCAGCGGTCTCTGAATCAGGACCTTTGGGGTATGAGGCAGTGCCATAGGTTCAGAATCTTCAAGGCTGGTTAAGAAAGTATGCTACATTTCTGATGTTTTCTGTGTACTCCTCTTTATTTGTTTCAAATATTGAAACTGTGGAGAGTATTCAGGAACACCAAACTGGGCAAGTGAAGCTGTTTCTCTAGGGATCCACTGTAATCTGTGTGTTGTTCAGTCACTTATTTGTTCTTCAGCTCTGTATCTTTCTCCTGGGGGGGGCTTTAGGAATATGCCTTTTCATTCTTCAAATCATATGCCCTCTACCTACACCAAGTTGGTTATTGCAGTAGCTGCTCAGAGACTACCTTAGTCAGTCACCTTAGTATTTGAGAGCTGATACTTGAGATCTGTCTGATTTAAAACCACATGAATTGTCAAAGTCATCCCTGACTTCCTCTATCTTGCGATGCTAACCTGATGTTGCTTGTAGCAGCTCTAATTGCAGTTTTAGTTGTTCTTAATAAAAGCTGTAATAAACTAAGTTTCCTCTTTAACAGGGCCATCTGTCAGAAGCTTGGTCTCGTGTGACAAAGAATGCTATTGCTGAAACCATCATAGCTCTGACCAAAATGGAAGAAGAATACAGATCACCAGTGAGGTGCATTGCAACAACCAGGGTAAGAATTTTACTACACTTCACATTAGTTCACTGTAAATGTGCAGTAGGAGCCTATCCAGGAGCCTTCCTATATTTTAGAAAAACCTTCCTTATACAGGATTTTTCAAGAAACAATACATAAAGTATATGGTTTATAGTCTCCAAATCTACCTGTGTGCATTATGGAGAGGTAGTGTTTCTCCTGATAAGTCTTGCTTTCTCTGTGTCACACCAGATACAGTTTTATTCTTTGTAGCAGAAATACACCAGTAAAAACCGAATTGTGATTAAATATGCATCTTGGGTACCTCCCAAATAATGAAGAAAAAGTGTTATGTTTATACATTTGGGGTTTTATCCTTGAGGTGTAATTCTCCTTTTAAGTTTGTGATATTTGTGATAAATTTTACTCAATTTATGAGCCCATTTGTGTAGAAAATTTCATAATACGTGTCAGCTGTCTTGTTCCAACACAATTATTTTAAGTAGTTTGACTTCTAGGTCATCAGCCACATCTCAAGGCTATTACAGAAACACTCAGTAACAAACATTCTCTAGGACAATTAAGCTAAAGTTCACCTCTGTCTAGTCTCAAAATGACAAAACATTTGCTGAGCCCATTATTATTTACATAGGGTGGGGTTTTTTTCCTTTCCCTTTACTTCTTCCATGAATCTTTTATAGAAGTTGGGACTAATTTAACCTTATTAGGTTGCTTGAAAAGCATACTTGTAAATTATTGCATGGCTTCTCAAGCATAATAACAACATGTAAAAGAAGAGGTTTGCAATGGTTACAAGCATTTGACACTCATGTTATTTTTCATCTCAAAAGGCTGTGCCACTTATCCTGTTCATCCCATTACTCCTATATTCTCTGCTTTTTGGAAGACACAATCTCAGAGTACCACCAGCTCCTGCTGTCACTGTGTTAGTTCAAGCAGGTCTTAGAGGAGCCCTGAACACCAGGCTAGCTCTCCTTGTCAGTCAACTTAGTTGTGTCATAGAGGTGTTCTTTGGGGGTTGGGAGTCCAACAGACTTTTTTCTACAAAAGCTATTTTGTTGAAATCAAACCTTTGAGCAAAACCATTGGAAAATGCACCTGACAAGTGTATTCCAGTTTGGATTGCAGGCCTGCCAATAAATTACCATCACATAGCTTGTCTCTCTAAAATTTCACTGTAGTCATTGGAGAGGAAAAGAGGGAAGCTTCCTTTGAAGAATAGTTAGCTCAGAACCTTCTTCTAGGTAATCTCAAACACCCCATGCAGCAAGGGTAGAACATACGGAAACCAAATGGTCTCATTGAGCTGAAGTTCTGTTGTTGTTGACATACCTGAAAGAAACAAGGTAGTTCCCAGAAAGTCAGTGAATTTTATTGTGTGCTTGACTTCTTGTGGAAAATAGAAAACTTGCATTGTATGAGCAGGCTTCAGCTGATGATGACACTGTTTATAGGTAACAGTGACATTCTTATCTGCCAAAGTTTGGATCTTTAGTGTTTGGACGGGGGGTTTCGTTTGTTTGGGGATTTTTTGCTTGGAGTTTTGTTTGGATTTATTTATGTATATATATATTTCTAAAACATTTAATTCTACCTTTCCTGTCAATAGCTATGGCTGGCATTAGCATCCCTCTGTGTACTTGATCAGGATCATGTTGATAGATTATCCTCTGGAAGATGGATGGGAAAGGATGGACAACAGAAACAGATGGTGAGACTGAATCAGACCTTTTTGTGTTTATTTTGATTTATTCAGTAGTCAGAGAACTTAGAATGATAGGGAAAGATAGATTTGGCCTAACCTTATTGCTCCCTTTTGTTCCCAGTGGAGATGTACATACATGCTTGAAGTATTCGTTCTAAACAAGCACTGCTCAGAAAAACAAATTTCCAGCTTAAAACAGGTGGCAATTCTATTGGTATTCAGGATGGAGCAAGGCCTTCCTAACACCTGTAGGATGGATTTTTGAGAGCAGATGTGACATGCTCTATCAAAGCTTTTTTCTCTCTGGATCTCTGTCACATAATAGAGTCAATTCTTTCTTTGTGCAATAACTTCTCTGTAACTTTGCTTCCTCTTCCCCATCTTGGAGAGTGATTACCCCAAAGAGAAAGAAACTTTCAAACTGGATTTAGTAAAGCTACCATTTACCCAGAGAATTTATAACTTTAATATGGAATATGATGGATTGAATTTCTATCTATATTTTTCCAGTATCACAAAAAGCTTATGTTTTTTTTAATACCCATCTGGAAAGAGGAAAATAATGAAGCTGATCTCATTATAACTTGGTTAGGTGCATCCCTGTGGGAGGCAAGGGGATATTGTGACTTTCCACTAGCAGCTGAGGATGCTTAGAGCAAAGAAGCTTCCAAAGTAGTTTAGTATAGTTAGAATGAGAACACAGGAGACACAGAGCTGCAGCAGCAGCAGCAGCAAGGACTAAAACCCTGCTGAGGTGATTAAGAAAGTCAAGGGACTTCTGCAGAGCTTTGGAAATGTCAGAGGGGTGGTCCAAGACACCATCAAGCAGGGATGCTGAACCCAGTCTGAAATTCCCCACTCCTATATTGTACCAGGATGTTCAGATGTTGAGGTGAACTGTGTGTCCCCCTACCAGGACTGTTGTTGAAAGGATTCTATTCTAAGTTGCTTGAGCAGTATCATGGAAACCAGTGTTCGGGGAGTACGATGGAAACTTGTTCTCAGACGTATGCATATGCATAATCAAATCAGTCCTTGAACTCATCGTTTGTACAGATATTTTGAACTGCAAAAAGAACTGTGTTAAATTTAAATATATATATGTATCAGTGGAGCAACTCAATTTTATGATGGATTTTAAAGTTTATTACTATAGCTGTATTATCTCTGAGTTATAGGTGGCCTACAGATTTGATTAATATTTGAACAGAGTAAACAGGCCATATCAAAGTAATGAAGGGTAAATATCCTGCCTATTGACTGACCCAAGTACTCATAGCTGAACCTTTCTGTTAACATGCCCATAACCCGTTATTGTTACCACATAAATATTTTCTCAGACTAGTTGAAAAGTGTCTCAACTATACTATTGGAAGCCACATTTTTTCTACATCATGCAAAATAAGAGATGAAGAATATCAGAAGAACTGATGTAGTAAATTGGGGAGGGGTTTGTGTCCCTGAGTAGTTATTTAGATACTGATGATTCTAAAGATACAATTAATAGTCTAAACAAGCTCTTTACTCCCTTTATTGATCTGGGGGTATGAATGGGGAGAGAATAAAAACAGATGCAGAAAGGAAATGAGGGATTTAATAGAATTAATTCTTCTTCTTTTTTCCTTCAGCCAATGTGTGATAACCATGATGATGGTGAAACTGCCGCAATCATTCTTTGTAATGTCTGTGGGAACTTGTGTACAGATTGTGACCGATTCCTTCATCTCCATCGGCGAACAAAAACTCATCAGAGACAGGTAGAGTACACGTGACATCGTGTTGTGGGCACTGCATGCATGGTGTACATTTCCCCTATTAATATATAACCAACAGGCAGTAGCAAGCATCAAATCTGAAAATGGCATTTTCCCTCATTTTGGAAATGGGATAGATAATTTTCCATTGAATTCTTTTTAGGTTTGTTTTTTTTTTTCAGTTAAATTCCCTTGTCCTTTATCTTTTGAAGATTAGCAAATCTGTAGCAGTCCCTAATTCTAACACTTATGCTACGTAAGCTTTTTTCTCTCCTGTTCTGACATTGTTTAAGAACATTTTTATGAGAATCTAGGCACTTCTTAAGTAAACTTTGGTTCTTCTGTTAAATTGTCATCTCGTTTACTACTTCTGTCATATGAGTCAGTGCTTGTCAACCCCTAATTTTCAATGTAGATACCTTTTTAAATATCCAGGAAGACCACTTGACAGCAGATGTCCCTACTTGTTCCTTTATGTCAGTCTTCTCTTATTTTTCAATATTCCTCCAGCTCTCACTGTCTTTCACAGCTAAGTATGTTGTCATACCCATAACCTTGAAATTTTCCTGACTTCTTTTGGTCTTGTTTTCAGAATTGAAACATCTCACCTGTTTGATTTATACGAGTTTTTATAAATTGCTTTGTACTCTGCTATTTAGTTTTATTTTGTTATTCTTTTATCCTCTTAATCTCTAAACTTGAAACTACATTCTCCTTTGAATATTTCTTTTTCTAATTGAAATTAATGCTGTTACTTGTGAAACTACTGAACATTTCCCCTTTTTTGACTATTTCTCCTTTGTAGTCCTTTATTTTCCCTTTTCTCTGATTATTTACATATGTACAAAAGCTAAATATAAAACGACACATTAATAAAATTAATTTAATAGAAATCATTCCTCTTCTCCCTCTCCTAGAGTGTATCTACCTCAGCTTTTTAGTTAGGATCAGGAATGGGCTTTTGAAACAGATAAATTTATCTCTCTTTAACATGCATTGATTTGTGTTATAGAACAGCTTTGGAGTGCATGAACTGGATTCCTTTCTGGTAGGACTAAAAACAACAAAACAAGATAAATGAAGGGACACAGCGCTAATGGTCATCAGTGCAGGGGATCAGCTAGTCTAGAGTACGTGTGATATAAACATCAGGTCATGGGCACTGAGTTTGACTCTACAGATCTCCTTGGTGCCTCAGCATTGGCAGTGTAGACTCGGCCTGGAAGTTGCATGGGGATCTGTTACTTTCTATTTCTTTGCCAGAATCTTTGCAATCCCCTTTGAAATTTTCCTGTTTTGTCATCCCAAGAAGATGATTTTTTTATGTCTACTCTTCCTTCATGCACAGCACAGTCTAGTCTCATTTATTTCTCTGATTTCTCCTATATAGCCTGTTCAGATTACAGTTGATAAAAAGTAAGTTCTTATCTCACAGAAGTCCTCACATCTCTCCTTTAATCTGTCCAAAATAGCTACTTATCAGATTTTTTCCTATTTACTTCTAAAAGCATGTTTAAACTTCTACTCTTTATTCACCACCTTTTTACCTTTACATCTCTTGTGTTAAGTACCTAAATTTAAACTGTCATGTTCCCTGTCTCCTGTTTTCTGTTAGCTTTGTTCTTTGTCCATCTTCTGTCATACATTCCTCTCTAGTGTATTTTCTCTCCCTTCAAGAAAGGACAGCTTGTAAGTTACTGTGATCTGCTTATGCAAATACTCTGTGAAGTAATTAGGGGTTATTTCCATGATTCTAGAAGTAATACAAAGTTTAAATTGAGTGAATACATCCCCATACCCAGGAAAATTCTAACTTCTATTGCATTGCAGGTGAAATGAATGAGAACAGAACTGCCTTCAAAACCTAGGAAAGGAGAAAAAGAAGAAACTGCATAAAGTCCACTAAGGATTTCATGCGGTTTTTTGATTTTGCAAAAATTTCGTATTTTCCTCATTGTAGCCAAAAGCATCCACTATTTATATAAAACTCAAAAATATTAATATTACACACTTAAGTAATTGTTACTGCATAGTACATATTGTTATAATCGTAATTATCAGTGTTGCTTTGATCAGCTACTAGTATAGTGAAGATACGTGAAGATATTTCTAGTGTTACCTTGTGCTTTTAATATACTGTGGCCTACTAGATGAGTTGGATAGTAGTTACGAAGTCATAAGTCCATATTTTTAAAGTGGAAAAAATGTTGTGCAGCATTAATCTTACATATTTTTATTTCTAAAAACACCTTTATCCATTCTGCAATATATACAAATTATAGAATGCCTAAAGAAAAGCAGCTTGCAGTAGACAAACTCCAGAGAATCTATAAAACATCTGATGACAACCCAAAAAAGCAGTGACAGAGGTAACATATAGAGATGCTATTTATTACCTGTTTGGTTAACCTGACAGGTATTCAAAGAAGAAGAAGAAGCTATCAAAGTTGATCTCCACGAGGGTTGTGGCAGGACCAAACTTTTCTGGCTGATGGCACTAGCAGATTCTAAAACTATGAAGGCTATGGTGGAGTTTAGAGAACAGACAGGTAAAACAACTGTTACTGCTCTTTATCCTGATGATTTTTATCTTTTAAATGAGCATTTGTCAAGGGGTTGGGAATCAAATCAGTTGGGGTTTTTACCTGGTTTAGGGCAATGCTTTTAATCATTTGCTAATAAAAATAAAATAGTTCAACTGCATAAGAATTGCTGTTTTTCTGGTGGCTTTCTGCAGTTGTTGTTTAAATGTCTGTAGTTAGAATATCAGTCTCTTCTGTTTCATTACAACAATTTCTGGTTTTGTTTACTCTTGTGGACTTAGGCAAGCCAACCACCAGCAGTTCTGAAGCGTGTCGTTTCTGTGGATGTAGGAGTGGAACAGAGTTATCAGCAGTGGGAAGCGTTTGTTCTGATACAGATTGCCAGGTGTGTATTAACAAGTATCAAACATTATTAATTACATAAATAGAAAAGACTGTACGATCAAATTGATTTCTTCTTTTGAGTACACCTTGTTCATCCCTGTGCTCCATTTTAAATCAGAGTTTTCATATGAAAAGGTTTTAATAATGAATATTATAATTTAAAATACTTCTGAGTTTGCAAGTGTTTAGTTTAATTACAGGCTACAAACACCAGTAGTCGACCAAAATATTGGGTAGTTTCAATACTGTCTTCAAAAGTATCTTAAGTTTTCACAATATGCACACTGTCAACGTGAAGCCTAGTGTACTGGAAATCTTGATAAAAGTAGTTTGTGTTAACAATCTATTTATTACATAAGCATAGAACATGGGCTTGGCCAGATTGGTCAAATGTATCCTAATACACACACTGTACAAAAGGTGCAGTTTTTCTCAAGTACCTGCTGTAGCAGTGAAACAATGTGAGTCATGATTCTTTCCTGCACAAACCAGTAATGCTTCAAAAAGCAACACTGTATCAGACCATCCAGTGGTCTGGTATTTTCCAGAGGGGAAAAAAGGGATTGATTAATTATTTACTTTCATTTACTTTTAATAGGAGTATGCTAAAATTGCCTGCAGCAAGACACACCCCTGTGGCCATCCATGTGGAGGCGTCAAGAATGAAGAGCACTGTTTGCCATGCTTGCATGGCTGTGATAAGAATGCTACAACTCTTAAACAAGATGCTGATGACATGTGCATGATCTGCTTTACCGAAGCACTTTCAGCAGCACCAGCTATCCAGGTTTATCTTTTTTCTCCCCATTTAGAGAGTAATATTATGGCTGAAATATTAATTGTGGAAGAAGTTAAAATATGAAGTCCTTTAAATCATACTCTTTAAGAAATTCAAGACAGACACTGTAACAGTACATAAATTACTTAAAGAGCTTTCTGTCTGGCACTACTGCTGTTTCAAGACAGCAGATTGTATCAATTTAGATTGCTGTGTCTGCTTCATTAAAATGTACACTAATTTATAAATAAGTAAAACAACTGAGGTAATTAATGGATATACTTCATATATTTCATATGTTCACTGGTAGTTTTGGAGTGGAAAGGTTATAATTTAAATGACCATTTTATATTCTTTCTGTTAAGAAGAAAATACGGGTCTTCTAGGATTTAATTCTGTAATTGATATATGTTGCCATTTGATCTTCTACTTCAGTGGTTAACTGAACTGTTCACTCACATGTATTCTTTTCTAAAGCTGGACTGCAGCCACGTTTTCCATTTGCAATGCTGTCAACGAGTACTAGAAAACAGATGGCTTGGGCCAAGGATAACTTTTGGGTTTATGTCCTGTCCGATTTGCAAGGTAAATGAGCTATGTGCTTACTGCCTAGGTCAAACAAGCTACCTAATACTGTCTTGTCTCTATTTTTAATTTTTTATTAATAATATATTGCTTGTCACAATATAAATTACTTGTACGTCACTTGTTTCCTTAAATTTTTCATGTCACTAAAGAAAAGGTATCCTTGATGTATCTTCTTACCTTTCCATACTGTTCCCTGAAGTAAAGGTCCTCTTAAAAAGAAAGCATAATGGAGACATTATATTAATGCTGATTTATTCTTAGCACCATCAGTTTGTAAATTCCCAATATTTGAGGACAGTGGGGAGGGGAGGAAGTAATCTTAATGCACATTATTATCTGAAGCAGAAAACTTAGCTTCTCTATTTTACTAAACCCTTTTAAAGCTGCTTTGCTTTTCAGTATGAGGACAGAGCTGAAGAATACATGTACTCGATTCAGCTTAAATTACTAAAACTTCCTCTTGTGCTCTACAAAATTGTAATTGCTATAAGCACAAGCATATGATAGCTGCAGGGAAGGGAGAGCACCTCAACACCCTAGGAATGTGAAATTTGTGAATGACCAGCCATTCTGCATGCTCTGTTTCTTCCTTCATGCTGTGTGTTGATAACTTACGGAATAGCTCGTGATCATTAAATGATGAATAGCTTGCAGTAATGAGGACTGTTAGTCATTAGTCCTAATCACAGTTAAGTCAAAAAGGACCCAAATTAGAGAAAACATACAGTCAGAATACTCCTGTGCTGTGGTGCACGTTTCATGTACCCTTTACCATCCCTCTGTGGTTATTACAGTCTGTTGTAAGGGCTGATGATTTCATGTAACAAAGGACCATATAAATAGCATTCCTGGTTATTATTTTTGCAGCAAAAAAGCATTTTGCAGCAAATAAGGCATACACTATATGAGTAATTTTTTGAAATGTCCATTACCTGAGCTCTTAGGTTTTATGACATTCATTATGCTTTTGTGTTTCACCATAATACAGATTATCACAGCTGTTGTAATAAAGATACAGAATACTTTAATCAGCTGGTTTTTTTTATTTCAGAACAAAATCAATCATACAGTATTAAAGGATTTGCTTGATCCAATCAAAGAACTCTATGAAGACGTAAGGAGAAAAGCACTAATGAGATTGGAGTATGAAGGGTTGCACAAGAGCGAGGCCATCACAACACCAGGTGTTAGATTTTATAATGACCCAGCTGGCTACGCTATGAACAGATATGCCTATTATGTTTGCTACAAGTGCAAAAAGGTATGAGGATTAGTACTTTCTCAAATGAAATGTTATCGTTTCAAAAGTAATGTCTTAACATATATTTAGTGTATTGTGTATGGAGGAGGGAAGCAGGAAAAGAAAACATTGTTAAATCATTATAAAAACAAAGTGTTGGGCAAATTAAACATACATAATGTCTTACCTTGTAAAGCTCAAAGGTATATACAGAGCAGGTCAGAAACCAAAAGCATATTGAGGCAGTAGCCTTCTTAGAACAATGTGCAGATGATGCTGTGTTAGAACACCAACTGTCCCTTCCTCCACTTCCAACTTATACTTTACATGACTATTAAAATAGTCTAAATACAGGTTTCATTCTAAGTCTGATATGGGAAGTTCCTAACCTAAGATTCCACTGAAATACAAGTTTTGCCAAGTTGGAGTTCACTGCAACTGCAGTAAACTGACTTGGGGGGGGGTGAAGTGTTAGAAGAATGAAAAAGGAAAAGGAGGAAATGTGTGGTCTAGCCTGATGGACTCTGGGTGATGTATGTACAGTTTTAATTCCCTGACATACGTTCCATAGGACTATCCTTTTCTTTTTAGTCTGCAGAGTTTGGGGGAAGCTGGACTTCCTTCTTCCTCATAGTTGCCTTAAGACCATTTTCCCTGTCCTTTTACAATCACTGCAAAAAGGCGAGAATTGCTGAGAGCAAGAACTTCCTGTGTTGTCTAATTAGTTAATAAACTGATAACAAAGGAAGGAAGTTAGTTACTTATTGCCTCACCTCACCACTCCATGTGAAAATGCTTTAGTAGACGAGGAAATTCATCGTTGGTACATTTTTGTGCCCAGTGTGTCATGGTAGAATATGATGAGAAAGTAGAAAGAATCTGTAGAAAACAGCAAAATCTTGTGAGAAAGGATCCCACATGTGCATAAAACCTGATAATCCTTCCAGCTGGTAAAAAGCCCTGGTAGAATGCTTATCTGCTGCTTTCAGCCTCAGTCCTCTCTTTCTTACATACAGTTGATAGAGCATCCAAACAGTTTCAAAAGCCTTACACTCACTTGCAGTAGGTCAGAGCATCTTGCACAATTTTTGGTCTTGTTTATCCTGAGATCGAGAGATACTGTCTTAGTGCCTCAAAAACGTGTGTCTGGAATCATAGTCAAGAGATGCTAGAATAGTGGAGACAACTGTAATGGCTGTTATTCATCATTTCCCTCTTACAAATTGAATTTGTTAAAATACTAATTGTCTCTGGTTTAATCTGCAATCATTTTTGTATAAAATTAAGGCATATTTTGGTGGTGAAGCTCGTTGTGATGCTGAGGCTGGACAAGGAGATGACTATGATCCAAGAGAGCTTATTTGTGGTGCGTGCTCTGATGTTTCAAGGGCTCAGGTAAGTAAAGAACCCTGATGCCTGTTTTTACTTCATTCTGAAGCTCCAAGTACCTGAGCTGTACAGCAATTCACAGTCATTTGTCATTACATGTATTGTATAATATTACCACAGCATGTAGAAGTGTGTACTTGCATTGTTGCAGCATGGGTACTTCAGTTACTGGTTTTTGTTTTCTTTTGTTTAGATGTGTCCCAAACACGGTACGGATTTCTTAGAGTACAAATGCCGCTACTGCTGTTCAGTTGCTGTTTTCTTCTGTTTTGGGACAACACATTTTTGCAATGCTTGCCATGATGATTTCCAAAGAATGACAAGCATCCCTAAAGAAGAACTCCCACACTGTCCTGCAGGTAGTATTTTTACAAAGCAAATTTACCACACTGAATTCTGAGATAAGTTCTAATTGATACCCTTCATACTGATAATCCTTAGGAAAACCACAGAGTTTGGCATATAAATTTTAAGTTCAGTACCTGGAATTATACTAGAATTTGTTCTATACCTGCTTTTGTTTTCTTTCATTTTTCTGGCAATAAAACAGGCAATGTCATCACACTGATCATTTAAACATTAGATATTTTGATAAAGAAAGACATTTCAAATTCCCTATTCCCAATTGCAGTTCAGACTCCTGATTATAGAATCATAGACTGGTTGGGGTTGGAAGGGACCTTAAAGCTCATGTATTTCCAACCCCACTGCCATGGGCAGGGACACCTTCCACTAGACCAGGTTGCTCAAAGCTCCGTCCAACCTGGTGAGACAATGCATTAAATTCATATTGAAAAAGTTAACATGTTATTAAATGCTGTATCTGTAGCTAGGTACCTGCCATGTGCAAACCTGCCCCAAGGCCTTAGTTTCTAACTTCATGTGCCACTGAATTGATCTTAATCAATCACATCATTTACCTTGCTGTTGGGAAAAAAAAAAAAAGTGAGATCAATCTTTTAAAGGTATTTACATGAAAGAAGTAAACAAAAAATACAGTTCTTGGTATATAACCCGATTGTTTCCTGCAGTGTTAGTCCCTGTTCCTATTTACTGATTTTGCTTTTAGACTGTGGAACTTCTCCCACCATTATTAATGAGATTAAGCTTATTTGGGTGATTCTCCCTATAAGCTGTTTCTACATTGAACTTGATTTATTTTAAATTCCATGGCACTTGGATCATTTTGGGGTTTTTTTTCTTCAAATACCAATTCAGCATTTGACATAAGTGTTTTAAGGAGCTAACAGTTTTCGGTCATGTTTTGTAAGATCTAATTGATACTGTCTCTTGGTTTATTAAGCCTTTAGACTTCTTGATTTTGACTGTGTGAAGGCACCTTTCTACCTGCTGCTTCTTAAGCCTTCATTTTTGATGCCTTATAAATTTATCTTATGGAAGTTACATTCACTTAGCATGGTGTTTCTTGAGGAAACGTGTGTGTGTGTGTGTATATATATACGCATTTGTTTCCATTGTCTGCAACCATTAATCTTTTCTCTGTTTTTTTTTTTTCCCCCTCACCCTTAAATTCACTGTAGGTCCCAAAGGTAAACAACTTGAAGGAACAGAATGTCCACTTCACGTTGTCCATCCACCCACTGGTGAAGAATTTGCTCTGGGTTGTGGGGTTTGCAGAAATGCTCACACTTTTTAGACTAGCATTTTTTTTTTACCAGAGCAAAACAGGTGCCCTCATCCCTCAAGTGTCCTGAAAATAAAGTCCAGCTGGGATGAGGACGGGACCATTTCATAACCCAGGTAAAAGGAACAATTTACAGTGCAAGAAGGATGCCAAATACCGTGTACATAATTCTTGCTGTGAGATATTGACATTTTTTGAACTGAGACATCAAAACTTGTGAGGTGTTTGCATGTGGCCATTACAGTCATCGCCTAGGAAACATTGGACATTTACAAATAAATAATTACTATTAAAGGATCTGTGTGTCTGTGGACTATGAATGATGCTGGCTTTCAGGAGAAAGAAAAAAATATTGATTATTGTATACTGACTTTTTGTAATCTTGTACAATTGTAACGCATCACAAGTGGGGATGGGAAAGAGGAATATTCTGGTTTATTTCCTAGACTGTTATAAAAAACAATTGTGTTAGGAAGACATAAATGTAACAAGTATCATGCTGTATATAAAGGTATCAATGTTTGTCCTGTATAAGAATTATTAAATTACAACAGCAGTTTCATTTAAACTTCTGGGTTATGTTTGAGCCTGAAATTTTAATGAAGTGCAATACTGAGTGTGCCTCATATCTTGCAGCTGTAAACATAATGGAATGTACATGTCAATAAAGCCACTGTACATTTTTATACAGTGAAAGTCTAACAAATGTGTAAGCTTCTGTTTTCAGACATGTTTTTTTTAAATGGGAGGAGAGGATGGGAGGTGTCATAATTACTTTCATAGGCTCTCTTAAAAAGTAGTAGAGTTTGTTGGGTAAACTGGTGGTTACGGAAGTACTTAAGACATAAAAAGTGCTGCTCAAATGTGTAACAAAAAAAGCTGGATATATGTACTAGCATTCATGTGAAGTACTGCCGCTTCAATTTCCAGCATTTTAAAACACAAAAGGAGACTCCATTTTAAATTACTATCAGTCGGTTATGTTTTACTTTTAGGACAAGTATCCTTTTGCCATGAATCCCAAAGTGTTCATTTGATAAAAGTCCCCAGACACCTGCTGCTGTATAGTGAAAGCAAGACGTAACTTCAGCTAAAGGGTTTTTTTTCCTATGACTTTTCAGATTTTCTCTGCTGGGTCTGTTCAACTCCTTTTCTACTATTTCTTCTTCACATAGATGAAATGTGCATTACCAGTAGACGTGAGCAGCTACTTTTACATTTAAGATGGCATCCATGTCAGGTGACCTTCATCAGACTTGGACCCGTGTGATCACTTCAGTCTGTCTGCATTCTGCATTTTAGAATAGCTGGGGAAAAACACACACCTCTGAAGCACAATTTATCTTAGAGTAGCACAGTAGCTCTGCAGAGGGATCTGGACAGGCTGGATTGATGGGCTGTGTCCAATGGTATGAGGTTCAACAAGGCAAAGTGCTGGGTCCTGCATTTTATCCACAACAACCCCATGCAATGCTACAGGCTTGGGGAAGAGTGGCTGGTAGGCTGCTGAGGAGAAAAGGACCCGATTGACACCCACTGAAAATGATCCAGCTTGTGTCCAGGCAGCAAAGAAGGCCAACAGCATTTGGCCTGTATCAGAGATAGCATAGCCAGCAGGACCAGGGTAGTGATCATTCCCCTGCACTCGGCACTGGTGAGGCCGAAAAGGAGAGGAGAAAACAAGATAAAGAAACTGCATTCAGTAAATTGACAAAAGTCTTGGGTAAGATCCTGTGGGAATCAAGTGTAATGAAAAAAAATGATTTATGGGAGCTGACATTTTCTTTAGAACAACCAACTAAGATCACAGCCAGCAGCCATCCTACTGCAAACAAAGGATGTAACTTGTACTAAGCAGTCAGCTTGGCCAAGTCAGGAATTACATATTAAAAAGGAAGGGGAAACCCACAGATAACTACAGATGACCAGTGGGCAGGGGAAGGTACAAGATAAAACTCAATTTGCAACAGACATAAAGAATAACAAGCAGGTGAGACAAGGATTCATCCCATACCTGCAGTGATGAAGCCCTTCATTCCACAAAAAACAAACAAACAAAAAAAAAAACCCACAACTTAAAATCATGTTAAACCCTCTGCATGTCAGGAGGAAGCCAATGTGTGTGTGGGGGGGTTATTCAGCATCTTCAACAGTCAAGATTCCTCCTACATTTGTATATCACTTACAGAAACAAGGAGCGTGACTCACCTGGACAAATGATGTCCATACTGTAGATGTTTACCTCAGACACAGTCATCTCCAGTGGGAGGGACAGGCACTTCCAGGATGTGGTTCATTCCATCTCATCCCAATATAAAACACAAGCCACCTGAATAGCCTGGATGTAGACTACAAAGTGCATTTTCAAATATAAGTCACCAGAGCCTACTCTGCATTCTGGAGCACAAGCAACGTTTTGGAGCCAGGACACCACAAGGCACCACCAAGGCAGATTATTTTCTCTGAAAGCATGTCAAGATATGAAGAGTGAAAACCCTTCTGGTGTTTATGGCTCCATGTCCCCTGGTTAATAGGGTTTTTCATAAGCCTTTCTTCTGGCATAGCATTCTGCCCCTTCTGGCAGGTAAAGGGCAGACACAGTAGCCTGAGGTTTGACAGTCCATCTCAGTTGTCCAATACTTCCTAGAGACCTACTGTGAACCTTAAAAAGACCAAGTGTTGTCTTCTGAAAATTTAAGTTCCTTACTCAGTACTTGACAATCTCACATCTGCAACCGGTGAACCCATCTGTTGGACACACCATCAGTCACTTCAGTAGATGCAGAGTAGAAGGTGCACAGTGATGTTCTAAGGACTCTTCTACTCATCAACAAGAAACGTGTGTAGGGTTATCAGAACTGTAACTGTTAGCTGGGAAGTGCTGCAGTACGTTCGGATTATTAAACCAGTGGTTATAGTACAATAGGGTGCACACAGGACAGAAGGTGAAAAGAAAGCAAAGCCCAATGTATTTACTAAGATCTCCCTACCATACCATTCAGATACATTTCTCCTCCACAACCCAGTGCCGTCCTCACTCTCTACCTCTCATCTACACTCAAAGCCTCATGTCACTGCCCCCTGCTCTTCACCAGAACTCCCAGGTGTTGCTTTCTGTCCTAATCCATCACACACAAGCCCTTTTTCTCCTTTCACTGCTTTCTGGCTACTGTCTCTCCATTTCAGGAGCCTCTTCCTGCCCCACAGTGTGGAGGGGTAGCAGGAGGAGCAGTGTCCTTAATCACTGATGCTCTTCCCCACAGACGGCAGAGCCAAGACACGCAGCAGAACCTGGAGCTGCCAGATCCACTGTACAAGGTATTTTAAAGCCAAAAAATAAGATGTTACAAAAAAGGGGGGAGGTTTGGGGTTTATTTTGCTGTGTAAGTAAGTACACAAAGAGGAACCTTATTTTAAGTGCTCATAATGCAGGTGCAACCAGTATATAAAAGGTATGGCTGCACTTACACCAGGGATTTCAGCACTTCCATGTTCCTAGGTCACGGATTAGAATATAAACTAAATTCAGAGGGTATTTGGTTTAGAAAAGTCATCTTTCTAACTGTAAGCTGACTCGATGAGGAATCAGTAGAAGAAAATGACAAAACAAGAAAGCTCTTCCCCAAAAAGGATATTGAAGAAACACAAACTAACTACAGTGGAAGATGAAATAATGCATAGAATTTGTACTGGGTTATATCTTTATGCATGAGTTCCTGACATAGGTACTTGTGGGTCTTAAATTCTAGAAAACTGAGTTACAGAGAGCAGAGAAATGAGGTGTCTGACCCACTATCCTTTTTAGAACATCTCTGAGTGCAGCACCACAGTTAAATTAACTAAATCAAATTAAATTGTTTTTTTAATTTTCTAGCCTTCTCTCTCTTTTTAGATCAATATGAGTACTAATTTAGGAAATCAAGATTACAGTGAGGAAAGGACATGATATTGCTCCATTCAGTTTACTAAGTGGGCTGAGCCGGGGTAGGCAATGTCAGGGACATCTTTCACACACAACTGACCATCCCCAATTACTCCTCCAGTGAGACAGCACGGCTGAGCAGCAGCATCAGGCTCATGAGTAGAGCTCAGCTGTAACAGCGTCAGACATTCACATCACCACATCTCCCCCCGCACCAGTCTCTACTGCTGATCATAGCCAGATGCCAGCGCAGGCCACTAATCAGATCAGTCCCCTGTCAGATTGCTGTGTGCCTTTCCAGCACCTCACGTGCTTTTCTGTCAGCTGTTGAGCCACAGCCCACACAACAGAAATACTCAGTTCTCGCCTGCACCACCCTGTTTGCCACCACACTCAGCTAACTCCTACCAAACTCAGCTCCTGGCCAAGGCGAGTCCACAGTGCTCCCACGCAGATCATACATCATTAGTTCACAAATAGCTTAAGCTTTCACAGGCGTATCCAAACACAGTATGAACAGTAAAAGTTAATAAGGTATAGACAAATAACCAGTCACCAACCTTATGAAACAGTTTTCATTCATCACATTGTATTGAAGCTTGTTGTTTCATGTAAACAGAGGTTAGCTCAGGAGCTTCAGGACCACATGGTCATTTGCCATACAACTCAAACTTTGTAGGTTTTTTGCCACAGCCCCTCCTTAACCCATGCCAGACACTGCAGCTGACTGAGAGGGCAGTAGTTGTAGCACAGATGCCACACGCCCCTTAGCCCAAGGCATGCTGGAAAGGCTGCACTGTCACACCCCTGCTCTCACTGCTGGGGTCTAGCAGGGACGACTTGCACTACTAAGCATTCCAGGTGGCAGGCTCTTCACGAGGTATACCTACATGGATGCCATTGAGTACAGAACGATAAAGTGGTAACAACCAATATAGCACAGCAGTTGAGTGCAACAGGGCATCACAAGTTATTGATAATCCCCCAAAGATATTCCCCACCAGCTAGTCAGTCTCCTCAGGTAACAGCCACCTCCGCAGTCTGCTGGGATTGAAGAGGCATCTGAGATATATAGTGCTCTGTGCTCCTGCCACCAGACTTTGTGCAGCCTGTCCGCTGCTAGTCAAAACTGAGTCCCTTTGGACGTATGAGTGTCTTCCCATGTTGTACCTAATAGGGTATTTGGCCACTGAAACCTTGAACAGTACTTGAGGCATTGCTTTGGGTCAGCTGCTCAGCAGTACACACAGTGCTGTTTGCTGTCACTGTCATGGCGTTGCTTCTACACTCCCACTCTTTTCTGCAGCCCACTAAGATAACCATTTGCACCATCCTTCCTGGATACAGGTATAAAAGCTGACACATACAAAGCGCCATCTCCATTGGTCACTACTTGCACTTTTTCTTCTACCCTAGAGCACATCACCTGTCTGTAAGTCAAACTGGATGACAAACTAGGCTCTATAAGGTAGATAATACCAGAATGACAAATGTAGCATCGACGGGTCAGTTGTTACTTGCAGCTCCCGTATGTTCTGACATCAGTCACCAATGCAGGGCTGTGCCTGTGGACCTTCTCAGTTACCTGTGGCAGAGGAGCAAACCAGCCTGCAGGAGCCCCATCTGGCAGGGATGGCAATGATGCAGGTAGCCCCTGAACCCCTCCCTCTCCTTGTGGCCCATTACTGCTCCACCTAAGGCCCAGAAAAGCATGCTGCACCACTGAGGATCAACCAGGGCTGTGCCCTTTAGCCAAACAGCTCCCTTT